CTCGAGATGTAGAAAAGGATCAGTAGGTTTATGGCGATGGCAACAGCAAGCACGCCTTGGCAGAAGGTGATGCGCATCTTGCGAGCGCAGGGCAAGTTTGGAAGAGCTCTCGTCTCTGGCCCACGGAGGGTCTCGCAGTTCCAGATTCATCCATCCAAATTTAGTTCACCTGGAAACCAGGGAGAAGAAATAATCAAAAGATCGTACATTTAGGAAACACCATTTTACCATCAGCTATAGTGCTCTGGTCCATGGGGTCACGAAAAGTCGGACATGACTAAACGACTAAACAAATAGATTACTCCAAACTTCTGAGACCAAAAGCAAACTTTTTACCTAAAATGATTTCCTTTTAGAGGGTCTTACTGTCTTCCCGCAGAGAAACCCACCTCTATGTTTCTGCAAGGGTCATGGCACTGGGACGCATGTCAAGATGGAGACACATTTAGGGAAGGCTGTTCTGAGAGCAAGTCATTCTGTGGTTCCTCCTTATGAGGCATGACCAGTGATCCAATTGCACCTGGTGCATAGTTGAAACAGAATTCCTCTGCACCGCAGAACAACAAATGTTTGATAGGAGGCAAGTTCAGAACAACAATTCATGCAGAGAAGCAACGGGCAGCCAACTCTGTGGGTACACAGCAGCCTTTCATTACTGAATTAGTTTAGCTTCTCTCTCTCTCTCTCTCTCTCTCTCTCTCTCACACACACACACACACACACACACACACACACTGTTGCGCCCCAGAATGCAGCGCTCTAGGCAAACCAGACTGTGGCGTGCCACCACCACAAAGAAGAAGTGTTCTTGAATGAAGGATGGGGAACCTGTGGAGCCATTTTATCCAGAAAAACGTAAGAACAACAGAGGACCCTGCTGAATTAGGCCACCATAGTCCAACATTCTGTTCTCACACAGGCCAGCCAGATGCCTATGGGAAGCACATAAGCAGGTCCCAAGAATAAAAGCACTCTCCTCTTGTGATGTTTCCAGAAGCATACTGCCTCCAACAATAGAACATAGCCATTCATAGGAAGACAACTTCAGTAGCAGAGCCCATGCTCTGGAAGTCCGAGATTCAAACCCTGGCAACTCCAGTGTGGGAGTTGCCCGAGACTTTGGATTGTTTCTGCTGGCCAGAGCATGCAGCGCTTATCTGGACTCTGGTTTCATACAGTGGTACCTCGGGTTAAGAACTTACCGTATTTTTCGCTCTATAACACGCACCCAACCATAACACGCACATAGTCTTTAGAGGAGGAAAACAAGAAAAAAAATATTCAGAACGAAACAGCAGATGTATGATTTTTGTGGTTCATGCTGTGGCCACAGACATGTGATCCGACGGTGAGTTTGGGGTAGCCCAATGCAAAAATCCTGAGGATCCATGTGGATCCATGCTTTGTAACCACGTTTTTGCACCACTGCGGCCCCAGGCAACAGTGGGTGCGTGATTTTTTGGGTGCAAGCTGTAGCCATGGACATGCTATGTGATCTGATGGTGAATTTGGGGTGACCCAGTGCAAAAATCCTAAGGATTCATGTGGATCTGTGTTTTGTAACCAGGCTCTCTGTCCCTCTCGCCTCTCCACTCAGCGGCTCTTCTCCCGCTTTGCTGTTTCAAAGCGAGCCACGGAGGAGGGAAGGAAGGGGAACCATGGATCCTCTGCTCATGACTGCAGCAGATCCCCCCCGCCACCCGTAGGCATTCCCTCCATAACACGCACAGACATTTTCCCTTACTTCCTAGGAGGAAAAAAGTGAGTGTTATGGAGCAAAAAATACGGTATTTCATTTGGGAGGTCTGTTCTTAACCTGAAGAACCACTTTAGCTAATGGGGCCTCCCACTGCCACTGCACGATTTCTGTTCTCATCCTGAAGCAAAGTTCTTAACCCTAGGTAATATTTCTGGGTTAGTGGAGTCTGTAACCTGAAGCGTATGTAACCTGAAGCATATGTAACCCGAGGTACCACTGTATATGGATTCAAGTGACCTGGCATGAGATGGAACACATTCAGATCTCATGGATGAGGGCTGGTGAATTCCACAGCCAGTCTTTGCAAATGAATTGCAAGCAGCCCTTCCGAAAGAACTGCAAAATGCCAGAAGTAGTATTCACAAGCCGGGTAAATGGCGAGGTGTGTTGGGAACAGCGCCGCCTGGAGAACGGTAGCGCCGCCAGAAAATGCCAACATGCTTTCAGGCGTGTGCAAGCATCACGGCTCGTGCTGGGCATTAACCACCAGCAGCAGGGAAGCCAACAAAAGAGTAGCGCTAATGAGTGCAACCCCTCAACATATGTCTTTTTTATTTATTTTTAAACCCACTAATCTTCCTGGCGTGGCAGATGGGCCAGGAGAACAGGAGGGGGCTGCCTTATTTAATCTTATTTACATCAAGCTTGCTCATTTCCCTGGAGGGATCAAGGCTTGTGTTTGTAAAGGGACAATCCTTGCTCTGTAACCCTCCTCCCTCTGTAGACCAATGGGGGGGGGCTAGGACAAGAAAGCTTCCTTTGGGGGAAGGCCGCTTACTCAGGAGGGGGAAAAACACAAACAAAAAAGATCAGGTTTCTTTTCTATAATAGCAGAGTTAACACTCATCACCACCTTGCTATGCTGTGCAGAAGGGGGCTTGATTCTCAATGAATGGGGTGCAGGGAACAAATTTGGTCACTGGCCCAATGCTAACCCCAAGAATATACCCCTTCACTTTCTCCCACATTGGTAAATGATTGCCATTTTATTTTATGTCCTCCAAGGAAATCAAGGGGCAGCAAACATGGTCCTTCCCATCCCCATTTTATCAAGCTCAGGTACTATTCCAGTGTACTGGAAGTGTGTAGTAATGGTTTTTTAAAAAGACACACACCTATGAAATTCACATCAGGATGCACACTTAGCAAATTGTGGGGTCCCCAGAATAATAGGATCCCCCCCCACTTCCTTGAGCCCAGCTCCTGTTTTCCATGCAAAGACAGGCAGAGGAAGCAGGAAGACAATGTCTCTGAGTATGTGCAGAGTGTCATCACACCCTACTCCCGCAGGCATCTAGGAGTCGTTCAGGCACACTTGAGTCCTGATAGCTATCATTTTGAAAGCAAACATGGAAAGCATGGAGGGTTTATAGGCACTTTAAAGATTATTTGACAGCAGCCTTTTTCACAAACCATTCTTTAAGAAGGGAACGGGACTTGCAGCACTCATCAATTCACTACGGAATTGCAGAGTTGGAAGGGAACCCAAGGGTCATCCAGCCCAACCCTCTGCAAGGCAGGAATCTCAACGAAAGCACCACTTCTGAAGGACAGCTGTTGTTACGTTATGGTGGTGCTGGTGGCGAGTCTAATCGTTGTCACAATGCAATGGAGACCAGAGAGGAAGGGGCAGGAATATGCAGTGAATTCAGACTGAGGGTGCAGGAGGCCTTTGGGGCATTTCCCTGCCCTCTTCTAGTCTGCAAAGCGCTGTGCGCATGGATGTTGCTTTAAAAGATAACAGTAATGGCAATGATAATGACGACATTTAATACAGTGGCAACAGCAGAAATAACCACCCTTGACCACAGGCGCTTCTGAGAGGACACCTTGGCTGAACTTGCACGCCTTCCTCACTCCCTTGGCAACCCCCTGCTTATTTATTATATGGCTTATTTATTGCACGCGGGTGGTGCTGTGGGTTAAACCACAGAGCCTAGGACTTGCCAATCAGAAGGTCGGCGGTTTGAATCCCCGTGACGGGGTGAGCTCCCGTTGCTCGGTCCCTGCTCCTGCCAACCTAGCAGTTCGAAAGCACGTCAAAAGTGCAAGTAGATAAATAGGTACCGCTCTGGCGGGAAGGTAAATGGTGTTTCCGTGCGCTGCGCTTTGCCAGAAGCGGCTTAGTCATGCTGGCCACGACCCGGAAGCTGTACGCCGGCTCCCTCGGCCAATAAAGCGAGATGAGCACCGCAACCCCAGAGTCGGTCACGACTGGACCTAATGGTCAGGGGTCCCTTTACCTTTACCTATTGCAACTGCACCCCAGCTTTCCTCCAAGGTGCTCCCAGTCCTCCTCCTCCCCGTTTAATCCTCACAAGAACCCTGCGAGGTAGGCTGAGAGGGGCACCCCCTCAGTCGCCAGGCCTCTCCCAGTGAACCCTGGTCTCCCATGCCACAGCCCGGGTCCTCTAACCACTACACCACACCGTCCCTCTTCTACTTTTCCCTTCACAATCACCCCCCGCACCCTAAATAGGCTTCTGCGTGCCCCCAATGCAATCCTACTCAGATCTGTCACGTCCTTTTAAATTTAATTTCACGGGGCGGGGGGGGGTATGTTGCCACCCTGTCTATCCTCCCGAGGAGGAGGAGGAGGAGGAGGGATGACGGCAGCAGCCGGTTGCTAAGGTGCTGGCGGTGGGCGCCCTGCTCGGGGGCGACTTTTCCCGAAGGCCCCGAGGTAGCAGGCCGCGTTGCCATGGTGACCTCGCCCGCTCTCTTTCGAACGGGCGGGCGGTTAGATTCGGGGCCCCGCGCGCGGACGTTGCACGAGGGTGGGGAGCATCCTGCGCGCGCTCCCCCCACCCTACTCCGGTTACCACGGCAACGCCCCCCCCAATTCTGCGAGAGGAGCAGGAACAGGAGGCGGCGGAGATCAGAGAGAGTGGGGATGCGGCCCACCCCTCCAGTCACCATGGAAACGCCTCCCCTCCCTTCTCTCCCTCCGGCTTCACACTCTTCTGCGGCGCAGTAGCCGCGAGCGCCTCCCGAGCCGACCTAGGCCGCATTTCCTGGCCGGCTCCCTATTTGGCAGGAAGTGGCCCCCGCTCCTCCCTCCCGCACGTCCTCTCTGTGCCCCGCTCTCGCTCTCCTCCTCCGCCTCCTCCCCTCGCAGACCGGGACCCGCTTCCCGCCGCCCGCCCTCCTCCTCCCTCCCCCCGCGCGCGGCGGGCTCACTATGTGGCAGCAGCAGCAACAGCCGCCGCCGCCACCACCTCCGCCGCCGCCGCCCTCCTCCTCCTCCTCGTCGTCGGTGCTCCTCCTCCTCCTCCTCCTCCCCGTCGCCGCCGCCTCCTCAGCCGCAGCCGGCCGGATCCCCGATGGAGGCCGAGCGGGTGGCGGCGCGGGCCCAGCAGCTGCACCAGCAGGCGCTGGCCGCGGCGGCGGGAGACCAGCCGCCTCAGCCGCCCCCTCCGCCGCCGCCTCAGCAAGGCACGGCGGCGGCGGCGGCTGCCTCTCAGGGCGGCCCCGGCCGCGGCGAGCTGAGCCTGCCGGGCATCCTGCACTTCATCCAGCACGAGTGGGCGCGCTTCGAGGCCGAGAAGAGCCGCTGGGAGGCCGAGAGGGCCGAGCTGCAGGTGAGAGGGGCCGGCGGTTACCGGGAGCCGAGGGCGCGGGGGCGGCGGGGACAGCCGCGGGGTCGCCTCTTCTTTCCTCCTCCTCCTCCTGCTGCTGCTCCTGCCACTGCCGTCGCCATCTTGGTGGGAAATGGTGGCCGACGGGACTGGCGGGGGTGGGGGTGGGGGGCAGGCGCGGCGCCCCCCAAGCTCCGGGGGTCACGGCTGCGGCCACGAAACGGGGGAGTCCCTGCCAGAGGAAGGCACTCTTACCCCCCCCCCCATTGCATAGCCCCGCAAGGGGGCCTGGCAACACCGCCCCCCAGCCCCCCCTCCCAGTGCCCTGCAACATTTCTCCGTTGAAAACAGGGGCGTCCCATCCCATCATAAATATATGTGACCCGCTAGCCCCAACATATATAGAAACACTGAACGTTTAAAAACTTCCCTGTACAGAACTGCCTTCAAATGTCTTCTGAAGGTTGCATAGTTACTAATAAAGGTTGCATACCCTCCAACATTTCTCCCATGAAAAGCGATGAAAAATGGGACATTCCGGGATCAAATCAGAAACTGGGGCAGCTTTTGTAATTCCAGGCCTGTCCCTGGAAATAGGGACACTTGGAGGGTCTGCGCCCCTCAGGAAGGCTGTAGGGATTATTCCCGGAGGTGGATTTGGGGATAACCCCCAAAGAGTGTTTTGGGCTCCTTTCGTGTAGCAGTTAAAATTATGGTTTGGCGGGGAGGGCAAGAGATACTTCCCCTCCTTCCAAAAGGTGTTCATTCTAAGCTTTCCCATCTAATCTCACTCTGGACACCTTCTCAAGTACTACTCAGTGGGGAAGACGGCTGCTTCCACTTCAAGGCCCAGGATGCCAAGGCGGAAGATGTGCTTAAATCAATGGGAACGAGAGACTGTAATTCCAGAAGGACTCTTGTCATCGGTTGCCCAGACAGTATTGAGCTAGATGGTCTGTGTCCGCTTCCTGTGCTCCTGAGGCCTTCCTTTCCATTCTTCAGTCCAACAGGAATATCCCTATGCAAATAGGATGCTTCCCCTACCATATTCTGTTAAAAAGGGAAATCTGAGGGGGCTGGATTCTGCCTGCCTCCCCCAATTTTGCCGCCCTTCTACAGATGCCGTATGTTGCGATGGTGGGCTGATTCCCACAGAAGAGGGCTCAGGAGCTGCTAGTTGTGGATTTTTTTGCATGTAGGAAGTGGACTTATACCATTGGGCCACCATTGGTCCACCCAGCTCAGGCAGTGGTTCTGCAGGGTTTCCAGCAGGGGTCTCTCCCTGCCTTACCTGGGGACACCAGGCATTGAACTTTCCATATGCAAAGCAGGTTCTCCCCTTCTGAACTATGGACTTAAACACACATCCTACTAGGCGAGGGCAGCAGGGAGAATATGTTCAGTGCTGTTTCAGCCACCGTCAGTGATGCATAGTCAGTGGGGAAGATACGCATAGGGAGAGTGAGCCTCTGGGGATGGAGTCAGCGAACCCTCAAACCCAAAGCAATTTATGATTATGGTCGAGAATTCTGTTTGTCCCAAAGAACACGAGAGCAGTAGCATCCCCCACTGACTTCAGTGAAACTTGCTTCATTGTTTAGTGTTTAGAGAGATATTAATCACTTCAGGTCAGTGTTATCTGGCTGCCAGAGATTTAGCACAGGAAATGGGAAAAGGGAGATGTATGGCAAATCTCAGTCCAAATAACCCCTTATAGTGCAATGGGTGAAATCTATGAGAGCAGGGAGGCGCATTATTCTAAAGTTGTCTTGGGTGTTGAGTAGGTTTGAGGCTGGGTGTACTAAAGGGGGTGGATAGTTGGTCCCTTCCCCTTGTAGGGATGTGGAAAGAAATGAGTGACCTGGGCAATATATCCGCCTTACCTTAGAAAGGCAAAAGGTTGAAAGTAACTGATGTATTGCCAACTGTGAGTGGAAGCCTGTGAAAGGATTTCATCTCTACCTTCTGTGGTGACAGAGTGGGGGGTGAGTGGGTGGATATTGCTGCCACCTGTTCCATAGCAAATGGGGACATGGGGTGTATATGGGAAGAGGAAGGAGGAAGCTGACACCTATGGCTCCCAGGTGGTTGGGAAGCAGCTGTCCCTACTGCCATAGTAACTGGCACAAAGGGAGATGGAACAGCATATTGTATTTTAACATGGATGCAAAGGCAGTAGAGCAGGGGGCTGAACAGAGGTTGGGTTAAGAGATGGACAGTGTGCTCTTACTTACTTATTTTCCTTTACATCCTGCCGCCTTATCCCATAAGCTCAGGGTGCTTTATATGGTTCTCTTTCCCTCATTTAATCTGCACAACTGCCCTGCAAGATAGGTTAGATTGAGAGGTAGTGACTGGCTCCAAGGCCACCCAGTGAGCCAAGTGGGGATTTGAACCTTGGTCTCCTAGGTCCTAGTCCGACCCTCTTAAGAACTGCACCACACTGGCTATCTTTTGAAAGGGCTGTAGCCAGAAGTTACTGCTCATAGTATAAGTGCCCATCCTGCTTTTTCCCTCTGGTGAACCACTGTTTGTTTTGTGCTGAAAACCTGTTTGGCCAGTGGTAGCATGCAGCACCTGAAATCACAGTGTACGTCCCATGGGAAGCTCTGCCTCTCACAAATCATGTTTGGTTTTCTTAAAAACTGAATGGTTATCTGCCACCAGAATGATAAAAAGGTAAAGGTAAAGGTACCCCTGCCCGTACGGGCCAGTCTTGACAGACTCTAGGGTTGTGCGCCCTTCTCACTCAAGAGGCCGGGGGCCAGCGCTGTCCGGAGACACTTCCGGGTCACGTGGCCAGCGTGACAAAGCTGCATCTGGCGAGCCAGCGCAGCACACGGAAACGCCGTTTACCTTCCCGCTAGTAAGCGGTCCCTATTTATCTACTTGCACCCGGGGGTGCTTTTAAACTGCTAGGTTGGCAGGCACTGGGACCGAACGACGGGAGCGCACCCCGCCGCGGGGATTCGAACCGGCGATCTTTTGATCGGCAAGCCCTAGGCGCTGAGGCTTTTACCCACAGCGCCACCTGCGTCCCCCACCAGAATGATAAGGGAGCGTAAATCGGAAGCAATTGTTCACTCTTAAAAACTGGCACTTGGGGCCATCTAGTAGAACCAATCAGCAATACAGTGGTGCCTCGCAAGACGAAAAGAATCCGTTCCGCGATTCTCTTTGTCTAGCAGTTTTTTCGTCTTGCGAAGCAACCCTATTAGCGGATTAGCGCTATTAGCGGCTTAGCTGCTAAAAGGCTATTAGCGGCTTAGCGGCTTAGAAAAAGGGGGGGAAGCGGGGGGGAAATCGCAAGACTAGCAAGACGTTTCGTCTTGCGAAGCAAGCCCATAGGGAAATTCGTCTTGCGAAGCAACTCAGAAACGGAAAACCCTTTCGTCTAATGGGTTTTCCGTCTTGCGAGGCATTCGTCTTGCGGGGCACCACTGTATGTTGAAACACTGCGAAATGGAATTACCGTATTTTTCACTCTATAAGACGCACCAGACCACAAGACGCACCTAGTTTTTGGAGGAGGAAAACAAGAAAAAAATATTCTGAATCTCAGAAGCCAGAACAGCAAGAGGGATCTCTGCGCAGTGAAAGCAGCAATCCCTCTTGCTGTTCCGGCTTCTGGGATACCTGCGCAGCCTGCATTCACTCCATAAGACGCACACACATTTCCCCTTACTTTTTAGGAGGGAAAAAGTGAATCTTATAGAGCCAAAAATACGGTACATTCAGCTGACCGGCTGGCAGCCAGGATCCCAGTGCACATACCCCCTTGGCTATGCTGCTCAGCCTAACCTACTTCGCAGGATTGGCGTGAGGATAAAACTAGGAGGGAAGAGCCACACATGCTACCTTGAGCTCCTTGGAGGAAAGGCAGAATAGAGATGTAATCATAATAAAGGTAAAAGGTAAAGGTACCCCTGCCCGTACGGGCCAGTCTTGACAGACTCTAGGGTTGTGCGCCCATCTCACTCTAGAGGCCGGGGGCCAGCGCTGTCCGGAGACACTTCCGGGTCACGTGGCCAGCGCGACATCGCTGCTCTGGCGAGCCAGAGCCGCACACAGAAACGCTGTTTACCTTCCCGCTAGTAAGCGGTCCCTATTTATCTACTTGCACCCGGGGGTGCTTTCGAACTGCTAGGTTGGCAGGCGCTGGGACCGAACAACGGGAGCGCACCCCGCCGCAGGGATTCGAACCGCCGACCTTTCGATCGGCAAGCCCTAGGCGCTGAGGCTTTTACCCACAGTGCCACCCGTGTCCCTGTAATCATAATAGGCAGCTTTAAAGATAGATTAGGCATGTTCACAGAGAGATTTAGGTGGCTAGCCATAATTAGCTTAAAATGGTATTCAGAGGCAGTAAACAGCTGATTTGTAAATGCTGGAGACAAAAGGCAAGAGCCACCCACTGTTGCTCGTTTGTGAGCTTCCCTGGGGTGCACGCAGCTGATCCTGTCAAGGACAAATTTCAGATAATCTGTTCAACAAGAACTGATTCCGTGCGGTTGGGAATTGTGTTAAGGGAAGCTGTTTAAAGTCAGTATGCGACTGTCCTACCAGTGGGGACATTTGACAGTCTTAATATCGCACCTGAGAAACGGAGGCTGAGGATGAGAAATGGACCTTGAGTGAATCGAAGTGTTTTTGCTTCCCATGATGAACACGGTCTCCTCCTGTCTTGCTGCTACCTCTCATCAAACAGGTTTTGCAGGTTTTGGGAACAATACGAAAACTTGCAAAATCTGTTTACCTGCGGGGAAAGTGGGACGAGTTGTGTGTACTGTGGGCAGCGACCAAACCCACTTGAAGTCCTAGTGTTAGGAAAACAGCAGAGAAATGGAAATACTAAAGAGAATCTCCCTTTCAAGCCATCTTCAATTCTGGAAAAGAGCATATTTTTTGTCTCCCATTTGAGGTGTTCTTATTACTGTAGTGGAAACTAGTTGCCCAGTCCAAGCAATATAGTACAGAAGCAAACTCCTGGGAATTTCAGCTGGATGTTTAATTACATACTTAGTGCAGTCCAGCTTTTTCAAAAGCGCTCTGTAAACATGAACTTGTTAAACCTGTGAGGTTGTGGCTGGATCTTCCTGCGGTGCTGTCAATCCATGTACTGATGGAGGCAAGTCAGTGAGCCTTTGACATGGCTTCGTATCATTGAAATGCCCCAATTTGCAACCCGTTACAATTTTCCTACCCTCTCATGACAGATGCCGCTGCTGTTCAGCTAAGACAGAATATCGAACCTGCTTATCGTACCGGGAGTGTGTCTCCTGCAGTTTACAAACCATGTCGCTTTTGCAGCCACATGCAGCTTATCGCGTCAACATTGTAAAGTTGTTATAGCAGTTAAACAGGGCAGCAAGGGCAGGACTTCTGCATATTATTTTGAATTCATGGCCTGCTGAGAGAAAACATGGAATAGGACAGAGTCACGTAGTTCCCAGTCTTTTCCACTTGGTCACTGTTGGGGATGAAGGGAGGATCGGGATTTGGTTTAATAAGGGAGCTGTCATATAAAATCCTGCCCCTCTTCACACTATCAACGCACAGCCCTTGTCCCTAGAGGGTTTTCCTCCCCTTTCTTTTGCCTTCTTATCTGTTTTGTTTCTCAAACCTCCCTGCAGCATGCAGCCCCTCCTGTTCATGGGCCCTTTGTAACCAGATGCCTTTTCCTGTTCCCTTCAAGCTGTTGCAATGACATTTATTAACCCTGTGACCTCAGAGCAGTTCAACCAATGAGACGAGGGAACTCAGCATCAGGGGAAGACTTATTTACATACATCAAGTCGTGTGTGTGTGTGTACTTCTGTTAATATTTTTTGATATGGGTTTTAGCAGGGGTCAGCAACCTTTTTCAGCCATGGGCCGGTCCACCGTCCCTCAGACCATGTGGTGGGCCGGACTATATTTTGGGGGGGGGGGGAATGAACAAATTCCTATGCCCCACAAATAACCCAGAGATGCATTTTAATAAAATGACACATTCTACTCATGTAAAAACACGCTGATTCCCGGACCATCCATGGGCTGGATTGAGAAGGCAATTGGGCCGCATCCGGCCCACGGGCCTTAGGTTGCCTGCCCCTGGGTTTTAGCCTATAATGCCCTCATAATCCTGGGTTGGGCAGGAACGGGGTTGTTGTGTCCTGTCAGAATTCAGTGCCTCTGACTTCCGGTTCTTCACCCTCCAGGCGCAAGTGGCCTTTCTTCAGGGGGAAAGGAAGGGCCAAGAGAACCTCAAGACAGATCTTGTACGGAGGATAAAGATGCTGGAATACGCTCTGAAGCAGGAGAGGTGAGCCATGCCACACACCAGTGTGCCCCCCTTGCGGTGGCAGAGTGGGCACCTCTGGGTTGCTGCCGCTGCTGGGCTCTCATTTTGGGAGAGGGTGGAGTTTCCCTCATGGTGCAGTGGGGAGAGACAGTCTGGATTCTTCTTTCCGCTCCTGGTATCCTTGTGTGACAGTCGCCTCACCCCTTCTGCACCCATCACCCACTATAAGGAAAATGACACGTGCTCATTTGCTCCCGGTGTTTTGCTCCTAAGGTTTCTTCTGCTTCTTCCAGGTCAAAGTACCACAAGCTGAAATTTGGCACTGAGCTGAACCAGGGGGAAAAGAAACCAGATATGTCAGAACCAGGTATTGTGCTCCCCGCCCCACCCTCGGGTGTCTGGGCATCTGCTCACTTGCACCTGTGATGTTCCTTTATCCTTCGCTGAGCCACCTGCCAGGGCCTAAACAGGTGCTTCCACTCTTTTCCCCCTGGAATGGCAATGACATCCTCTCACAACGAGAGACGTCCAGGAACCTGCTCCTGCAGTTGTCTTCTGATGTGTCCACTGCTCTTTTAAGTTCAGGCGGCTGGTGAATGAGAGCAGGGCATTCCTACTTAAGTAGTATCTTACACAGACTCCCTCACCTTCCAGACATTCCAGGCTATGTCCAGTGAAATCTTACTCTTCCAACTTTTGGAGCTTGGATTTCTTCCATTGTTTGTTTGCTGTCTGGAAGTTGCCACAGGTGCCAAAACAAATGGAAGGGCAGCCCCATAAGTATTTAAATAAATGTTGAGGCCGGTGCTTCGTTAGCAATTGACTTCCTTTTGCGTTGAGGGGAAGGAGGAAAAGGGCAGGAGGGTAGATTCAGGGAAGAGGCTCTAGCTCAGTGGCAAAGCTCAGGCTTGGCTTTGCATACTGAAGTTCACTCCCTGGCTGTCCTCTCAGACTCTGTGCTTCGTGTGCACGGGTAAAGCTATCGATAAATAATGTAATTAAAGCAATTTCTAACCCTCTCTCTAGCCAAAGATAGTCCTACAGTGGCCTTCAGACCAGTTAAGAATACAAGACAATCCCTGCCTTCAGGCTTTCACTGCACAAAATGGCAAAGGGATTGGGAGGAGGAAAATAGTTATTGTTTAAAAGGCATAGCAGGTCTGGGAGAGAGAAACCTCCCTGAGGCCCTGGAGCTGTCCTAGTGGCAGTCAGAGGAGACAGAGCTGGCCTGAATGGGGCAAAAGATGAGAGAACCTGGAAGAGGGGAGGAAATTTGCTCTCCTTGACCGCTGGAAGACTTTCCTAGTCCCGCTCTAGGCTGTCCATATGGTTTGAGTTTTTCGGGGGTTTTAAATAGCAAATTCTGGCCTTGCCATTTGCAAGGCTGAGAACATACTACAGAGGCCCGTTCGCAACGTGAAAAGAGCGCAACCCGCAGCGGCACGTCTGTGCACGCGCGGGTTGCAATTTGCTGCGCGAGCAGCGAAACCCGGAAGTAACCTTTTCCGGAACTTCCGGGTCGCTGCGGGACGTAACCTGAAAGAACGTAACATGAAGCAAACGTAACGTGAGGTATGACTGTAGTTTCCTTGTCAGCTGCTGACGGAAAGCTTTCTTCCTTTCGCCCCTAGTCTCCAATGGGCCAGCGGAACCGATCTCATTGGAGAGCAACCAGTTCATGTGGAAGGAAGGGCGCCAACTCCTCCGCCAGTGAGTAGGGAGTAGGGCTGAGCTCCTGGGGGTGAGCGAAGAGGCCCTGCTCTGTTGGCGGCCTCCCCTCTAAGGCAGGCTTGTCCCGGGGCCTGCCAAGTTGCTCAGCCCTATACTGAAGGCCCCTTTTGATCGGCCTCCCCAGGTACCTGGAGGAAGTGGGCTACACGGACACCATCCTAGACATGCGATCCAAGCGAGTCCGCTCTCTGCTCGGCCGCTGCTCCATGGAACTGAACGGTGCTGCCGAGCCCAGTGGCCTGGGGACTGGGCCTGCGCCGGGACCTGCTGGGCTGAATGGGGGCGAGTCCCTTCTGGTCAAGCAGATAGAGGAGCAGATCAAAAGGTACGTTATCAGTCACTTTGGCCATGGGGCAGGGAGGTAGAGAAGCTTCTCTGTGTATCTTCACTTGATCTTAGCCAAAAGGCCGAGAAGCTTCTCTGTGTATCTTGCCCCCCCTTTTCCAGCAGAGGGCCACCTTGACCCGCTGTCAACCCTCTGGAAGCCACACGCCTAGAGTATGCATGGCCAATTGTAATAATAATAATAATAATAATAATAATAATAATAATAATAATAGTTGTTATTATTATTTATACCCCGCCCATCTGGCTGAGTTTCCCCAGCCACTCTGGGCGGCTTCCAATCAAGTGTTAAAAACAATACAGGATTAAATATTAAAAACTTCCCTAAACAGGGAATTGTAACTTTCCCTCCTTCTTAAATACAGTTTTTAGTGGGGGGAGGGTTTTCACAAAAAACCTTCTGGCACCGTAGACTCAGCAGAGGATCTGTGGTCAGTGATTATTTTTTAAAAGCGACACATTTTTCAGGACCACAAAAAACCTTTTGGCATCACAGCAGAGGAAATATAAGAGCGATTAAAAAGTCAGTGTTTACATTTTTCAAAAGAAGCAGCACATTGGGCGGTGGATTCAGCCTTCGAATGAGCCACCCCTGCTGCACTGGGTGTGATTGTTCCATCTGGTGCACATTTTTTCTCTTCTCTTTGGCAAATGTCCTGAAGGAACCAACTGTGGTCCAAGCTCTGGCAGGGCAGGTACAGTCCTGCTGCAGGCCTTACTAGTGTCTTCTGTGTTATATCGCTGCTCTGATTGCCAGCGCAGGGTACATACGACTTTCACCATAGAGCTGTAAGGAGGGAGCGGTGCCCGTATCTACATTCATTGAGGGTCATGGCCAGTGTTCTTTTTTCACAGTTTGCATTTTTCACCAGATGTTCAGGCTCTGCATTACTCTAATATTTTCCTGCTTCCATGGTCTGTGGCTAGCAGTAGGGAATGAAACACCCATGGGATGTACAGAGGAGACCTTTCGAAGAGCAGGTGCCTTAAGGCCAGGGGATGAGACTGGGCTGGCAGAGGCCCCTGTACAGGACAAAGGGTGTAGTGCTGGTGCCTGTGGAAGGGACTTTTCAGTGGTGGCCCCACATCTGTATTCTTTTAAGGAAGCACGTGTAGATTCACCCTTTTTGCCAGGCTTTTGGATGAGGGAAATTTGTCAGACTGCATTTACTAACAGTTTGATGCAGCTGTTTCAATTCTGAGTTGTATTTGTGTCATGTTGTTGTTGTTGTTTGGTAGTTATGTTGTTCAATATGCCGTAAACCTCCCTGTGGCCTCTTGCACAGGTGGGAAATAAATAAAATAAAAATCCTGGTCAGGAAAGGTTGTGCATAGTCTTGCACTGTGGAGGTCCATAAAGTCACAAGTGACTGTGCTGATGGCTGTCAGTTGATCCAGGAATGGATCTACACAAATCAGATTAGAGGAGGGAGTGTGGAATCCCTCAGTGAATATATTTCCAGCCTCTTTTGGAGCTGAGTTCATATTCCCCATACAACAGTTTTCTGCTTCTTTTCTCCTGATAATGAGCATGCTTTTCTGTTTTCACGTGAGGCAACCCTAGACCCCAGTGTCAGTTGTTCTTCCTTACACTTCTTACTTGCAGGAATGCTGGGAAGGAGGCAAAGGACCGGACCGGCAGCTCCGTGATGGAGAAGATCCCCTTCTTGCAGGGCTGCGAGGAAGAAGACGACAGTGACGAGGAGAAGGACTTGGAAAGCCTGCCCCTGGAGACGCAGCGGCAACACAAGAAGCAGCGAGTAAAGGTATCCTCCCCTCCATGAACCTAGCAAAGAGGTGGAGGACTTAGTTTAGCACCATGGAGGCAAGGGGGCTGAGCTTAGGTTTCTTGAAGGGAATTGGTTTTTTTTAGCAATATGGAACCAGAGGGCAGGGAGTCAGAATCATAGAATTACAGAGTTTAGAGGGGCCCATCTTGTCTAACCCCCTGCAATGCAGGAATATGCACCTGTCCCATACGGGGATCGGACCTGCAACCTTAGTGTTATCAGCACCATGCTCTAACCAACTGAGCTATCTGCAGCTGCAAATATTTTATTTATTTATTAAGCTTCTTAGCTTAGTTCTCCAAGTGACTTTCAGCAAGTGTGTGTGTACATATGCACCCACACACCCACAGAGTATAAAAAAGGGGTATCATACAATGCCGCAATCTATTGTTTAATATAGCATTCATGGAAACAAACAAGCATTAACTATTCTCTAATAATAAACAGAGAATACTCCCACCCACTAATACCCCCCTTATAACCTAACCCCCACCCAGAAGTCTAGTATCAGGCCAGCTATTCCAAATCAGCATACTCCTCCAGGGATGGTCCGTCATCTCCTCTCCCTTTGTGAGAAGCAGGAGCAAGGCAAAACAGGCGTTTGGACTGTAGCTTCTATCCCCGGCTCTGCCAGATAAGCGAAATCCATTGGTTTTCCCCCTTTAGGCTTGTGGCTCCCATTCACAGTTGAGGTGGTTGCGTTGGCATTTTGCCACACTTTAAATACCATATTTTTCGCTCTATAGGACGTACCTGACCATAGGACGCACCTTGTTTTAGAGGGGGAGAACAAGAAAAAAAAATTCTCCCCCTCTCTGCTCAGCGCCCCTTCAGCGAAGCGGCAGGAGAAACGGAGCCCCTTCCATTTCTCCTCCCGCTTCGCTGAAGGGGTGCTGCGCAGCTCTTCCTCTCTGCTGAAGCCAGGAGTCTTGCTCTTCCGGCTTCAGCAAAAGGAACCCGAAGCCTTTGGAGCGCAGCGCGAGGTCCCGCTGCGCTCCAAAGGCTTCAGGCGGCTATCCCTGAAGCCTGGAGAGCAAGTGGGGTCGGTGCTCTCCAGGCTTCAGCGAAAGCAATGCATAGCCTCCAGAGCGCGGAGGGAGCGCTCCCTCTGCGCTTTGGAGGCTTCGCGTTGCTTTTGCTGAAGCCAAGGAGCCTGCATTCGCTCCATAGGACGCACACACATTTCCCCTTAATTTTTGGAGGGGAAAAAGTGTGTCCTAGAGAGCGAAAAATATGGTACTCTTATTGTATTCAAGTTGAAAAAACAAAGCATAAATCTCCTGCCAGTCTTTGCCCAGTGACATGCTCACAAAGGACTTGTAAGTCCACAGTGGTCTCAGGAATCTCTTCGTTAGGAACGGTGGGCCTGGGGTTTGGGCCTTTTCATGCTGTGCTTTCCCCCCAGCTACTGTACTGAGGACACAAAGGGACATGGATACCTACAAAAACGAACCGCAGTAGGCCATAAACTGGCCCAGTCGTGCTCCTTAGTTTCAGGCGGGGAGGTTCTCTTGTCTGGTTGGTGCTTGCCCATGCAGATGTGGCCACAATGCACATCCAAGCTCTGATTTGCCCCTGTCCCTCTCGGCAGCTCACCAACAAGCCCCTGATGCCAGAAGTGGAGGATGAAGACGACGACGAGGACTCCGAGGATGCACTGAGCGAGTTCGACTTCCTCGGCTCGGGGGAGAACGGCGAGGGGTCCGGGGACATGCGGCGAGCTGGAGATGGCAATGAACTTGGTAGTTACAGAGCTGCATCTAAGTTTCCTCCACATCTCAAATGTCCCCTTGGCTACATGGGGGTTTCCTGATTAATTCCTCCTGATTGTGTCTCAGTCAGCTATTGGGGTAGGGATGGGGGGGGGAAAGGCCTGGGCACTTTTACCGCGATTGACCAAGGTTCAGCAGCTGGGTCATCACCAGTTTACAGTGGCCAGAGGCTGGCTTGACCGTCCCCTCTCCAACTCCCCCCCTTCCAGTGTGGTGAGAGCCAGTGTGGTGTAGTGGTTAAGAGTGGTAGTCTCGTAATCTGGTGAACCGGGTTCGCGTCTCTGCTCCTCCACATGCAGCTGCTGGGTGACCTTGGGCCAGTCACACTTCTTTGAAGTCTCTCAGCCCCACTCACCTCACAGAGTGTTTGTTGGGAGGGAGGGAGGGAAAGGAGAATGTTAGCCGCTTTGAGACTCCTTAAAGGGAGTGAAAGGCGGGATATCAAATCCAAACTCTTCCTCTTCTGCAGAAAGCCGCCGGGTGAAGCTGCAGGGAATGCTAGCTGACCTCCAAGATGTGGATGGGCTTCCCCCGAAACCTTCCATGCCGGCAGCCATCTCCAGTCAACCCAGATCTCACGAAGGTGCAAAGGCTTGGTTTGTCCTTTATGCCCCGCCCCCTTTCCTTTTGGCTTTGTTTTTTGATTTTATTAAATTCGTCCAACATTATCACAACACCATGCAGGTCAAGAAATACCCCACCCCTAACCCAGAAGCTGGTGCTTGAGCAATGCATTCAAAATAACAACCAAACAAGTTATTATCCCAGGCTGCTATTTGTATAGAAAGCAACGAACATTTTAAGTTACCCAGTGAAAGTTTTCTAATGTGTGGGGAAGTCCTCTACTTTCAGTTTTAGCCTTGTGGGTAATAAAGTCGTGCCATTCAGTCTGCTTCAAGCCTTGTGCCAATTTTATTTTATTTTAATTTTCCCACAAGCGCTGTTTGCCACACTTCCCTGTTGCCATCCAAAACAACCTACACCCTGCCCCGTTTCCTTTGTCCTGTAGCTGGCGCGTTGCCACACTTGTAAGCTTTCCTCTCCCCTCCCCGGAACAGGTTCCCTGGGCTTCTCCTCGGATGTTTTTATAATGGACACCATTGGCGGAGGAGAGGTCAGCCTGGGAGACCTCGCGGACCTGACCGTCACCAACGACAATGAGCTAAGTTGCGATGTGAGTTGCGATGCGAGTTCCGAGACTTGTCAGTTTCCATTCCCGCCCCCTGCTGCCTCCTCAAGCCCTCTTCTGCTCCTCTGGCTACTGCCACAGGGGCAGCCTGAGCTGGGAAATACCGTATTTTTCGCTCTATAAGACGCACCAGACCACAAGGCGCACCTAGTTTTTGGAGGAGGAAAACAAGAAAAAAAATATTCTGAATCTCAGAAGCCAGAACAGCAAGAGGGATCGCTGCGCAGCGAAAGCAGCAACCCCTCTTGCTGTTCTGGCTTCTGGGATAGCAGTGCAGCCTGCATTCGCTCCATAAGACGCACACACATTTCCCCTTACTTTCTAGGAGGGAAAAAGTGAGTCTTATAGAGCAAAAAATACGGTAATCTTCCATGAGTGGGAGGTGGTGAGGAAGCAGCTCTGTAGCAGCGGGAGAGGTTCGGGATGGGGAGGGGCACCTGGCTAAGCAGCCCCTCTATTCTTTCTCCTCCTCCTCTCCTCCACCCCTGCCTCAGCTCTCGGACAGCAAAGATGCCTTTAAGAAGACGTGGAACCCCAAGTTCACCCTACGGAGTCACTACGATGGCATCCGGGCCTTGGTCTTCCATCACTCTGAGTCCGCGCTGGTCACCGCCTCGGAGGACGGCACGCTGAAGCTGTGGAACCTCCAGAAGACGGTGGCCGCCAAAAAGTGAGGACCTGCTGTCTTTAGAGCTGGAAAAAAGCACACCAAGAACTCGGGCCAGTATAAGTTTCCATAGTGGGAGCGGTCCCCACTCGCAAATCAATAGCCAATTGTAACAAAAACTAACCCATTCAAAAGTATGTATTCTGACAAGGATTACAAACTCAAATAGAGATTACAAACTCTAACTCATAAGGATATGTATATCCAATTATGGATCAGAAACCAGTAAGTTCATGTTAGTCCATAGTCAGGTTCGACGTGAATGTCTTAGTTTCAGTCATTGAGCAGAAGTCAATTATGGATCAGAAACCATTGACTATTGATTTGCAAGTAGGGACCACTCCCACTATTGAAACTTATATTGGCCTGAGTTCTTGGTGTGCTTTTTTCTTGGTATATTTAATAACAAGAACTCCAACTTATTCAATGTCTTTAGAGCTGGAGCTAGCATAAAAATGGCTCCCTCCCTGGAGAAGGGCAAGGTGGCTCAGTATGCCTCCAATTGCCAGTTACTGAGGAGCAGCGGAAGGGAAGGGTCCTTGCCCTTGCAGGCTTCCTGTAGTCATCTGGTTGGTGACTGTGGGAAATGCCATGCTGGAGGAGGTCGCTCTGTGGTCCGACCCAGTAGGGCTTGCGTTACGAGGAAGAAACTGCTCTAGGCATTTCTGCGTGCCAGGTGGATGCCCGTTTTTCATCTCCGCCTGCCATGGCTCCCAGTCAAGGAATGCTGTAGGGCTGTGGAGAGTTGCACAGTCTTGTAACCCTCCGTTCCCAGAGTTCTTGTGGGGATGGGGGAGAGATGGGTCCACAAAGTGGTTTAAACGTAGCGTCCCTGTGGGAGAGATGCAACTTCCAACTGTCTCCGAATCATTACAGTGGTACCTCGGGTTAATTCGTTATGGAGGTCTGTTCTTAACCTGAAACTGTTTTTAACCTGAAGCACCACTTTAGCTAATGGGGCCTCCCGCTGCCGCCGCGCTGCCAAAGCACGATTTCTGTTCTCATCCTGAAGCAAAGTTCTTAACCTGAAGCAGTATTTCTGGGCTAGCGGAGTCTGTAACCTGAAGCGTATATAACCTGAAGTGTATGTAACCTGAGATACCACTGTATTATTAATAAAAATTTGTATACCGCCCTTTATCCATAGACCTCAGGGCAGTTCACAACGTCAAAATACAAAATGCATAATAAAAACAAGAACAAAAAGAAAGCAAATAACCCCTAGTGATAGATTCTGTGAATCTGTATGAGGAAAGCATAGAAAAATAACCAATCACAGGTGATGAAAAGAGCTGCGACACAATGAGAGTTGGAGCCCCCAACCTTCCCTTGGCTTCAGTTCAACCCCCGAAAGTCGGAAGTCAGTAGTGCTTCCCCAAATCTTTGAAAAGAAACCCCCAGAGCTCTCCCTCCCCCATTCCCTTTGGTTCCGCATCCTTGTCTATCGGACCGTGTGCATTTGCTGTTTTTGCAAAATATGACGCTGCCTTGTAGCAAGTCGGAGCAGTGGTCCATCTCACTTCCTAGTGACTGGCAGCACTTCCCTGGGAAGAGAACCTTGCTCAGCTCTGCTGTGCGAGGCCCTTTGATTGGAGCTGTCACGACCTCCTGCACCATACCTTGCAGTGGACTCACAGCTGTCCACGGAGGCACAGGTCAAATCTGTGTCCAGGGCAGCTGTCTCCCAGCTCCACCTGGTACGCAGGCTGAGACCCTACCTGCCTGCGGACTGCCTCGCCAGAGTGGTGCATGCTCTGGTTATCTCCCGCTTGGACTACTGCAATGCACTCTACGTGGGCCACTTGGAAACTACAGCTAATCCGGAATGCGGCAGCTAGACTGGTGACTGGGGGCGGCCGCCGAGACCATATAACACCGGTCTTGAAAGACCTACATTGGCTCCCAGTACGTTTCCGAGCACAGTTCAAAGTGTTGGTGCTGACCTTTAAAGCCCTAAACGGCCTCAAGGCCCAGTATACCTGAAGGAGCGTGTCCACCCCCATCGTTCTGCCCGGACGCTGAGGTCCAGCTCCGAGGGCCTTCTGGCGGTTCCCTCATTGCGAGAAGCAAAGCTACAGGGAACCAGGCAGAGGGCCTTCTCGGTAGTGGCGCCCGCCCTGTGGAACGCCCTCCCAGCAGATGTCAAAGCGATAAACAACTACCTGACATTCAGAAGACATCTTAAGGCAGCCCTGTTCAGGGAAGTTTTTAACGTGTGATATTTTACTGTATTTTTGGTTTCTATGGAAGCCGCCCAGAGTGGCTGGGGAGGCCCAGCCAGATGGGCGGGGTATAAATTATTATTATTATTATTATTATTATTATTATTATTATTGCAGGTATCTTCCCCTCCAATCCCCAAAGTCAGAGGTTTTGAAATAACTACACTAGGGTCCCTACCCCACGCATAGAGCTTAGGGTAGTGAACATGACACACTCCTGTTTTCATCACTACAGTGGCCTTAAGGTGTGTGTGGGGGGGTGGTGGCGACCGGGACCACAGCCCTCCAGAAGCTGTTAATCTGAAAGGAATGCTACTGAGAGTTGCACGTAAGCTCAGCCTGCAAGTGAGAAAAGCAAAGACGACATGTAGATGTGTAGGCCACCCATCTGACTCTTTTGTCATCCCTCTTTGCTGTTACAGGAATGCAGCGCTCGACGTGGAGCCAGTCTATGCATTCAGGGCACACAGGTGTGTATAGGAGTCGAGCAGGCGCAAGGGGAAGCCATTGATCCCTAGCTAACCTGTCAGCTGCCCTAAAGCAGAACTGCCTGTTGGATTTCCCCTGGTGGGTGTCGGGGGAGCATTAGTGGGTACAGCCCCACCCTCGTTCCTTCCGCTCCTTTTCATGCACCTGTTGCTGTTCCCTGCTAGGGGCCCGGTGCTTTCTGTTGCCATGGGCTGCAACAGCGAATATTGCTACAGTGGAGGCGCAGACACGAGGATCCGTTGCTGGAGGATCCCGGAACTCGGCATGGACCCCTACGATGGCTATGGTAGGGACAGGCAGGGGGGTGCCCCAAATCTGCCGCATCTTGTCTCCTTGCTTTCATTCTTTGATCTAGGGATGACATTGACAGTGACATTACATGGACAGGATTTGGGGCTGCCTCATCGCACCCTGCAAGTTTAGAATTGGGGACCAGGTTGGGTGGGGTGGCAGTATTGTGAACAGCTGGTTTTCGCAAGGCTGGAGCCTCCACAAACTTATTTGCTGCCGGGTTGCAACGGGAACTGCCTGCATGTTTTGTGTGTTGGAAGGCGGAGCCTTACCTTTCCCACCCCGACCTGGCCACAGTGATCCATGCGATGGTCACCTCCAGGCTTGACTACTGTAATTTGCTCTACGCGGGGCTGCCCTTGAAGCGCTCCCAGAAACTCCAGCGGGTGCAGAATGCTGCAGTGAGGCTCCTCACAGGGTCTCTGCCATGGGAGCATATTCACCCAGTGCTATAACAGCTGCACTGGCTCCCAGTGGAGTACAGGGTCAGATTTAAGGTGCTGGTTTTGACCTTTAAAGCCCTTCACGGCCTAGGACCCTCATACCTACGGGACCACCTCTCCCGGTATGCCCCACGGAGGACCTTAAGGTCCATATATAGTAACACCCTTGTGGTCCCGGGCCCTAAGGAAGTCAGATTAGCCTCAACCAGAGCCAGGGCCTTTTCAACACTGGCTCCGGCCTGGTGGAACTTTCTGTCTCATGAGACCAGGGCCTTACGGGATCTGATTTCTTTCCGAAGGGCCTGTAAGACAGAGTTGTTCCGCCTGGCCTTTGGCTTGGAATCAGTTTGATTCCCTCCCCCCTTTCTTTCTTTTTTCTTTCTCCTCCTATGAAGAGATTGCACCCTAATGTTTTAATGCTGTACCTTAATCTTTTAAATTGTATTTTAATCAACTTGTTTTTATTATTGGTTGTTAGCCACCCTGAGCCCGGTCTTGGGTGGGGAGGGCGGGGAATGAATGAATGAATGAATGAATGAATGAATGAATAAATAAATAAATAAATAAATAAGAAAGAAGGTCTGGCCTCGTGTGCATGGACCAGGAAGCAAAGCTCATGCTCTTCTCTATCCCTTGCCCTCCATTTGGCCAGAGGGCTAAAGCCAATGCGCCTATTGTGGTGACGCACCCAGCGAGAGTTTCCCCAGTTGTGGAGCTCCATCCCAGCACAGGGAGGGTCACCTGGCGCCTGCTCTGGCACGGGCCTTTAAAGTTCCCAGGCTCTCTCTCTTTTATTCATGTTACTTGGATGTTTGCTGCACGATGCTCCTGTTTTTAAAGTGTCGGGTTCTGTTTGCAGTTCTGTTAGCCTCCCCTAGAAATACACGTGTCGAAGGGGGAAATATTAAATGCATGAAATAAATAACTTCGTTTGGGCCTCGGCTCCAAAGTATATGTGATGATCTAGGCCAGGGGTCTGCAACCTTTAAGACAAAAAGAGCCACTTGGACCCGTTTCCGAAGAAAATAAAAACTGGGAGCTGCAAAACCATTGCAACATTTAAAACAAATATAACACTGCATATATTGTTTCTTACCTTAATGTCCGATCTGACAGCAGGCGGGAAGGTGACGTTGGGACGGTGCGTGACTAACGCACGCACCGCCCCCATGCGACGTCACAGCCAGTACAGCGCCCGCCACAGTGGGGAGTGTCGGGGCGCACAATGCGCCTCCTCCCCTCGCTAGTATCCGCCCCGGAGCCGCGGCAAAGGTGTAAAAGAGCCACATGCGGCTCCGGAGCCGCGGGTTGCAGACCCCTGATCTAGGCCATCTGTCACTGCTGTGCGAAGCTTGAAAGGGAGGCAGGCAGCGCTAGGTTTTGTTTTTGTTCTTGTTCCTGTCCCAGACCCAAGTGTGCTCGGCAACGTCTTGGACGGACACACAGACGCCGTTTGGGGCCTGGCCTTCAGCCCCTCGAAGAACCGCCTGGCTTCGTGCTCTGCAGATGGCACGGTGAGGATATGGGACCCCAGCAGCAGCAGCAACTCCTGCCTCAGCACCTACACTGCGGACAGTGGTGAGCCTCTTTGTGACCACACTGGGCCCTTGGATCCTGCTGAAGGGCTTCTCATTCGTTCGTGGTGTGAACTTGCTCTGTCTTTCCCTCTCAAGCTCAGACCCCAGAGTGTTGGTGCTGACCTTTAAAGCCCTAAACGGCCTTGGTCCAGTATACCTGAAGGAGCGTCTCCACCTCCATCATTCTACCCGGACACTGCGGTCCAGTGCTGAGGGCCTTCTGGCGGTTCCCTCGCTGCAAGAAGCCGAATTACAGGGAACCAGGCAGAGGGCCTTCTCGGTAGTGGCACCCGCCCTGTGGAACGCCCTCCCACCAGATTTCAAAGAGAACAACAACTACCAGACTTTCAGAAGACATCTGAAGGCAGCCCTGTTTAGGGAAGGTTTTAATTTTTAATAGGGAGGGGTGCGGGTGGCACTGTGGGTTAAACCACAGAGCCTAGGGCTTGCCGATCAGAAGGTCGGCGGTTTGAATCCCCACGACGGGGTGAGCTCCCGTTGCTCAGTCCCTGCTCCTGCCAACCTAGCAGTTCGAAAGCATATATACTGTACTTCTGGTTTGCCAGAAGCGGCTTAGTCATGCTGGCCACATGACCCGGAAGCTGTACGCCGGCTCCCTCAGCCAATAAAGCGAGATGAGCACCGCAACCCCAGAGTCGGCCACAACTGGACCTAATGGTCAGAGATTGCTTTACCTTTATTTTAATATTCTGATGGAAGCCGCCCAGAGTGGCTGGAGAAACCCAGCCAGATGGGTGGGGTATAAATAATAAATTATTATTATTATGATTATTAGGGTGCTCAATCTCTCGTAGCAGCTAGAAGTTAATAACATCTGGAGCATTGAAAACCTCACATACCCTCAGCAGATAATTCAGGGCTTCTCCAAAAAGGGAGGGAGGGCTTCTTAAGAGGGATAAAGGTGGAGTGGCTCAGAGAAGTGTCAAAACAAAGGTTAGAAATGTATAAATCCTCAGGTTTAGGTGGAGATTCATCAACTCTGTGCAGTATGGCTTGGGCAGAGCAACTTCCAGTTCTCTCCAAATCCTTCCTTCCGCTGCGGTCACCCTTGGGCCACAGCAAGAACCCAGTGCCCAGATGCTTGTCTCTACCATCTTCTGCAGAGAATGGAATCCCTACCTCCATCACCTTCTCCGGTACCGACCCTGCACACGTCGTGGCAGCCTTCCAGACAGGATGCACGGTTCTCTATGATGTGGAAGCCAACTGCTCTGTCCTGACCCTGGAATCCAGGCCAGCCAGCGGTGAGTTGGGGCTGAGAGTGGGGTGGGGCTAGGAAAAAAAAGTGTAAGCATAACAAAAACAGAGAATAAAGAATATTAACCGTAAAGCATCACAACATGAAAGGACAAAATTACAACAACAACAACCAACAACAACCAACAAGAAGGCATCACAGCTCCAAAGGGATAATAAAGCATTGGCTCATACAAAGATTCCCTTTATAAATAAAAATGATGTAGAAAAATAAAAGTTCTCCATCTGTGAGTTCCTGCCATTATTGAGAATAAAATGCAGAGAATACTTCACAAAACACATACATAAAATTCATCCCTGGACTTGTTTCGATGAATGAATGTCTGCAGGAGACTTTGTGGATACTTAGGTTATAATTAGAAAAATCTTAATAATTATTCATAAAGGAAACAGTTTATAAGAAGTAAATAAGGTGGCCAGATAAAGGAAGTCTTTTATTTGGTTGTTTGTATTGTTGTATGTTATGTTCACGTTTAACGAGGGTGGATTTGTGTATTGGGGGGTGGGGTGTTTGTGTTATGTTGTAAATAAAATTTCAATTAAAATTGGAAGAAAAATTGGAAAAAAGAGAAGAGAATAAAGGTTCTGTTTAGTCTGAAATGAGCCAGATACAGTGGTGCCTCGCAAGATGAAATTAATCCGTTCCGCGAGTCTCTTCGTCTTGCGGTTTTTTCGTCTTGCGAAGCACGGCTATTATCAGCTTAGCGGCTATTAACGGCTTAGCGGCTTTAAGAAAAAGGAAACAAACTCTCAAGAACTCGCAAGACGTTTCGTCTTGCGAAGCAAGCCCATAGGGAAATTCGTCTTGCGGAACGACTCAAAAAACGGAAAACCCTTTCGTCTAGCGAGTTTTTGGTCTTGCGATGCATTCATCTTGCGGGGCACCACTGTACCTGCATATATTGGTGGCATTTCTGTTCTCTTGTACAAAGTGAGACATTTCCCCAAGCAGAAGTGTCATCCTAGTGGGTTAGATTGGGTTGCTTAGGACCAGGGGTTATGATGATAAACCAGCAACAGCGTTTACAGGTCCCTTGTTTAGAGACTCCCCAAGAGTGGGTTTGTTTCTTGCTAGGGTGTAGTTTTTTGTGTGTGTGTTGTTATCATTGGAATACTGTGTACACAGTTTCAAGGTAACATTTCGCTTCATTTCCACTTTATCTCACATGGGGTTCGAACCCACAACCCTGAAATTAAGAGGCTCATGCTCTACTGACTGAGCTCTTGCTGGGGTGTAGTTGTGGACAGGACAGAGGTGGGGTAGGCAAGGGGATCGCTGAGGAATCTAGAAGAGGAGAGAGGGGGGAAACCAAAGTCCCTCGACAAAATTCAGAGAAGATAAAATTTTGGAATTGGAACTGTGCTATAAGGGGCTTTTGGGTCCAAGAATAGAAGGTGCTGGGAGTGAAATCCACTTGCTGTGAATTTTATTTCTACTGACAAGTGAAATACATAAAGTGATTGTAGCATTGTAGCATTAACTAATGAATGAGTTTGGGTTGGTTAAGTTTACAAATGAGCCGCAGCAAAAAAGGATTTTTAGGTGTAATTGTGTGCATAATCTTGGGAACAGCACCCCCTCCTGAGTCATCGAAGGAGGAATGCCTCTGTTACATTGTACTTTTATTTATTTTTTAATTTAGAACTCTGTCCAGTTAATTCCGGGCGCATTTTTATGTCAAGCCAAAATAAATAAATCATTCATACAATGCAGCTTTGTGCTGGCTTAGGCTGATGGGGAATTGTATTCCGAAAACCTCTGGAAGGCCCCAGGTGTGGGAAGGGCTGGTATAATGTTTAGTCTGTTTAAAAACTTGGCAGAAATAAGTCACATATGGCACCTGGCCCTCACATTTTCTTTCAAGGTCTCCCGAGTGCAAATTCAGCAAAAGTTTGAGGCTGCCTCCTTGGAGAAGTTCCTCCTTTTCCACATCTCTGCTCTTATCCAAGCAAAGGTGTGCTTGTCCGAGGACTGTCCTTAAACCCTCCTCTCTTCCTCTCTGAACAGGATCCAGTCAGATCAACCAAGTTGTGAGCCACCCAACCCAGCCGATCACTATCACAGCTCATGACGACCGAGGGATCCGCTTCCTGGACAATCGCACAGGTGGGGCTGTTGTTTGGGGGCCAGAATGGCATGAGTTGGCAGAAACCTGTAACCTCTGCCTCCTTCGCAATGATTAGAAGAGCACTTGCTTCCCAAACACAGTTTAAAGTCGGCAGCTTTCCTCTGAACACGATTTTTCAAATAACCCAGGAATGGGAGTTGCGTACATATCTACATTTTGTAACTCAGGGGGAAAATGTTCTCTCTGTGCAGGGAAAGCTGTGCACTCCATGGTGGCACACCTGGACGCTGTTACCTGTCTCGCTGTAGATCCCAACGGAGTGTTCCTTATATCAGGAAGTAAGTGCTGCCTCCTCCATCTCCATATGTGTTGTTGTTGTTGTTTAGTCATGTCCAACTCTTCGTGACCCCATGGACCAGAGCACGCCAAGCACTCCTGTCTTCCACTGCCTCCCACAGTTTGGTCAAACTCATGCTGGTAGCCAGTGTGGTGTAGTGGTTAAGAGCGGTAGTCTCGTAATCTGGGGAACCGGGTTCGCGTCTCCGCTCCTCCACATGCAGCTGCTGGGTGACCTTGGGCCAGTCACACTTCTTTGAAGTCTCTCAGCCCCACTCACCTCAAAGAGTGTTTGTTGTGGGGGAGGAAGGGAAAGGAGAAGGTTAGCCGCTTTGAGACTCCTTAAAGGGAGTGAAAGGCGGGATATCAAATCCAAACTCCTCTTCTTCTTCTTCTTCAAGAACACTGTCCAGCCATCTCGTCCTCTGTCGTCCCCTTCTCCTTGTGCCCTCCATCTTTCCCAACATCAGGGTCTTTTCCAGGGAGTCGTCTCTTCTCATGAGGTGGCCAAAGTATTGGAGCCTCAGCTTCAGGATCTGTCCTTCCAGTGAGCACTCAGGGCTGATTTCCTTCAGAATGGAGAGGTTTGATCTTCTTGCAGTCCATGGGACTCTCAAGAGTCTCCTCCAGCACCATAATTCAAAAGCATCCATTCTTCGGCGATCAGTCTTCTTACTGGGAGCTTTCTCTGACATTGAATAAATCCCGTAACCTTACTTAGGCAAAGCTTTTATGTGCACAGTAGAACCCCAGTCTGCAAGGTGGGTCCCCATCCCCCAGTGGCAGAGCAGAATGTCAGGCTCCTCCCGTGAATGTCCGACACCCTATTTCCTCGCCGAAGTGGCTTCACACCCTCCCCTCCTTCAACAGCTTAGAGGTCTGCCGGTACCCAGAGCTGTTCCACCAGGCCTTTGGTCAGGGCACAGCCTGACCCCTTCCTTTGGCAATCTGCACAGAACTTTGGCCTAATGGTTGCCATCAATTTGATTTGAATTAATTTTAGAATGAAATGATTTTAGAATGTTGTACTATTTTATTGTTGTTAGCCGCGATGAGCCCGGCTTTGGCTGGGGAGGGTGGGATATAAATAAATTATTATTATTATTATTATTATTATTATTATTATTATTATTACCCCTTAACTAAGCCTTGTGCCTGCCTGGGCATGTGGGCTTCCTTGCTTAACCCCCCTGGCCCTTCCGCCTCTCCTAGGCCACGACTGCTCCCTCCGGCTGTGGAACCTCGACAACAAGACCTGCACGCAGGAGATCACAGCTCACCGCAAGAAGCACGAAGAGGCCATCCACGACGTGGCCTTCCATCCCAGCAAGGCCCTGATTGCCAGCGCTGGGGCCGATGCCCTTGCCAAGGTCTTTGTATGAAAAGAGGGCGGGGCCTACAGGTAAGGCAGGCCTGGGAGGGGGCGGGGCAGGAGGAAGCCGCCTTGTGGGGCCCGGCCTTGCACCTCCTTGTCATTCATAGTGCCTCTCTCTTTTCCACCCCCCAACAGGTGCGTTCCCCAGGAGCCCCCTCTTTTCTTGTTTCCTTTGTTCTCTCTTTCTTTCTCTGGCCCAGCCAGTGGTGCTAACAACTCTTCTCTTCGCCACGGGCCCCTCCTGCCATCCCCACCCAAGCTCAGGACTGACCCCTGCTGGACAGCGGTGGCCGGGGCATTGCAACTGGGGGAAGAGGCAGCTGCTCCCCTGACCTTGGGACTCACCTTCACCAGCACTGAAACAGTTTCCCCGCTCCTTTCAAGGTCGTCTGGTTTTTCTTTCCCAGCGCAGGAAGTGGAAACGTTTTTCCCAGTTGGTTGGGAGCGGGGAGAGGGAGCCCGGGCCTGGACTGGGATGCTCTGCTGTGTCTGGGAAGGAGGGCTTTTCTGGCAAGCTCTGCCTCCTGGCCATCTTGGGCAAGGGTTTTCGAAACCTTCCCTCCTGTCCCCTTGGACCTGCGACTTCTTTTCGACGCCGGAACTCCTTTGGGGAGAAACAACCTCCTGGGGTGTGAAAAGGACACACAGCAGCGTTCCTAGCCAGAGCAGCCCTGGACCAAGCAACTTTCTCTCTCTCCTGGCCAAGATCCCTCGTCCCAAGCCAAAAGAGGAGCGAGACGCAAGCAGAAGGGCACCCACCCACTACTATCGCACCAGCCAGTTGCAGCCACAAAAGGCTTTCACACTGCTTCGCTAACTGTTAAAGACTTCTTGGGGGGGCAAATCACGTGCCAGCTGTGTGTGGTTCAGCAGGTTCTCCCCTCGCCCCTCGTGCTTCCTTCAATTTCACATTTCCCCTGCCCTTTCCTGACTCCAAACGCACAGGCGCCGAGGACTTCCCACCGTTAACACTCCCCACGTAGGCGGACCCAGCAGAGGAGCAATGGGCCAGGAGGGAGGGCAACGTGAGGTCCTTCCTTCTCTGGCCCCTGTTGCTTTCAGATATTGTAGACGCGAGGCCACAGGTAAGAGGAGGGGGGAGAGGCAAAAGGAGACAGAAGGAAAAGACCGCAGGTAAGCAAACAGGGATGGTTGGTCGTGTCGATTTGGGAAGCCAGCCAGTTGTCGCCCGCAGGCCGGACATGGGCCGGTGGGCCCTTAGTTGCTGACGCTCGTTCAGGGAAGCGAAACGTGTCTGCGAATGTGGGAGGAGGGTCTGGGGGGGGATGCAGGAGCCAGAGAAAGGGGAGCAGAAGGATGAGCTGTGGGGCGGGGGTTAGTTTCCGGTTAAATTAGGAAGTGGGGGGTGGCCAAGGGAGGCCCCCCGCTCTGTGACAACCTTGAATCGCCTTGTTTAAGCTGGGCAGGATTTTTGAGCCTGAGCCTGTGGAGGATCTAACATTCAGATTGCTAACACTCTGAGCGAAAGGTGGATAGGTTCTATTAACCACTCAGTGAAGCAGTGCGGTCTGTTGGATAACTGGCAGTTCCCCAATTCACCCTTTTTTTTTAAAGAAAAAGCCATCAACCCTTAGAAGCCTGTTCATAGATGCTAGCCCTGGGCGGGGTGGAGCTTTCATCTCAGCAATAAGCCCCACAACACTTGGGCTCCCTTTCTTCCCTATTTCCCAGGCGAGACTGAATCGCAGCCATTGTTTCCCTGGGGGATAGGGAGCAAACTAAAAACCAACAGGCACGGCTTTTCTCCCATCACTCTGGCAGGGCTGGTAACGCTTGGGCCAGCGTGGCAGAACGGAGATGGGAAGGTTCTGCCTGGTCCTGCACCCAAGTAGACTCCTCGGAAGCGGGTTTCAAAGGCCAGGCAAGAGAGGGGCTTGCTTGTCAGGTGAAGGGGCCAAATCCAGGAAGGGGACCAAACCTTTAGATCCAGGGGCTTGGAGACCGGACCCTCCTGCACCAGTTGGGCTGCCTGTGGCCTGCAAGGTGTTGCTAAGCTACGACTCCTCCCTCCTGGCCCCGCTGGCTGGGGCTGATGGGAGCTGGAGCCTCTGGGGCGTCTCAAGCTAACCACCCTGCGTCCGGGGGGGCGGGCGGGCTGCTTCTTTGCTTTTATTTCACTCTTTTTCTTCTTACGTGTGTTGTAACTTGACCCAAGCAGTTGGCAATCCTTACTAAAAAAAGAGAAATGAAAAAACACTAAAAAAAGAGATCCTTGCTGAATTTGGGAATCTGTTGCATGGGAGCTTGGTGAGCGACGCCTTCCTTGGGGCGCTGGTTTTGTTTCTTTTACGTTGCCCCCCTCCCTCTCCTAGGAGGGCTCTTTGGGGGCAGGGTCTGCTGTGCCCACCCTCATCAGCCAGCTGGGGCAGCTCTTAGCACAAATAGGATCGGGGGGCGTGGGGTTTGGGGCTCCACGACACTGTTCCCTGCACCTGATCCTACCTTAGCCGGCTCGCTCTTGCAGCCTTTTAACACTACCGAGGGGGCTTAGGCAAGGAGACTGGGTCAAGCTGCAGCCGCTCAGCTACAGTCGGCTCTCCCTGGCATCTGGCAAGGTGACGACTTCTGGACTCGCCCTCCAGCCTGAATCTGCCAGTCGGAGAGAGCAGGGTTGGTCTCTCTCCTCTTCCACATGGGCTGCCTCTGCCTCCGCCTTCTGGGCCAGCGAGGCCTTTGGGGAGGCTCTGTCCGCATCTACAGCGCCCGCATGTGAGCTGGGTGAGAGGGGGCAAGTCCACGTTGCGCCAGCAGCTGCCTGCACGAGCTCAGCAGCAAACAGGGAGCGGCTGTCCTGGAAAGCAGCGGCAGCTTCCGAACTCCCTTTGGGGTAATTGTATTTTATTTTTGGCAGCTAAGGCTGCGTTGGATCTCCCTGTCTAGCACCTTGCATCCTTCCCCACCCCAATTTCCCCCCTTTTTTTGTACATTCTGTATAGTATTTGAGAAAAACGAAACCCAAGACATACCCAAAGGGCTGATGCTGAAGTAACCACGATCACGTTATCACTGTGTGATAGTTTCTACGAGCCATGGTCTTCTTTTTTAAAAAACAGTGCGGAATTTGAGCCTAAAGCGAAGGGGGAGAGGGCGAGGAAGGACGCTGTTTTCCAAAAGACTGGTGCTCTCTCCGAATCTCATGAGCATACTGGGTGGCTCACGCCCGCCCGCCCTGCACCACCGATCACAAGGCACTTCTGAAACTTTGGCCTATTTCTCTCCCTGCCCCACTGAACCCGCCCCCTTTGTCCCCAAACATATCTGTGTGCTGTATTTATCCAGACTTGAGAGCACTCCTGCCTTTTTAAATGCCGGTTAGCTTTTTATTGTATATTTATTTGAACTCCATCTTCTCTTTTTATTTGTAATTTTTTTTGTCCTGTTTAATCACAAGACTGAATTGTATGTGGGACAAAAAAAAACCAAACAAACCTGTCTCGGTGGTAATAATAATAATAATAAGAATAATAAAAAAATCCTTTGGCATAAATGTGGGTTTCTTGACAAAGTTGAATTAGAACTAGTTATCTTGTGGTTTAAAAAACCAGCAACCGTGAAGTTTTATTTATTTTGAGAATCTGCACGCCACCAGCACTCAGGAGAAAACGGCAGACTGGGCCGTGAAGAGCATAAAATCAGTTGAGGAAACAAGCATAAAATACAGTAGATCCGCTTAATATAGCAACGATCGCTAGATCACTCGGGAAAAAGCCTGGGTGAACAGGTGAGTCTTGAAGCTTAAGTGCTGGATATGTCAGCTCCAGCCTTGTGTTCACTGGGAATGCATTCCAGTGATCGGGTGCCACCACACAAAAGGCCCTGCTCTTGTTGGATGTATGGCACAAAATGGGAGCACGCCACTATTAAGGAACGAAGTGACTGGGCAGGAGGGGGCAAGTTTAAGGCGTTGTCAGAGGTAACTCGGTCCTACATTGGCAGCTGCCCCTCACCCAAATTTGCTATGGGGGGGTGGTCTTTCAAGGGTAACTCTGAGAAGTGTGTGTATGTGTGCTTGCAGCCTCTTTCACGATCACTGACTGCCTCCCGGCATTAAGGGTGGTGGGAAGAGGAAAGTTTCAAAACCGAACTTCCTCTCTGGGGTGCAACATCCTTAACTTTTGAAGAGAAAGGTACTGAGGCCTGTCCCTGCTATCTGCCTTGAAGGGAGACCCTGCTTCTTCATTCTAAAAGTGTTGGGGACAGGTTGCAGTTGGGCTGCTCCAAGAGCTCAGGGCAGCACTCTGCACGAGCCCTAGGGTGCTTTTTAAAGGGAATGAGGGCAAGGGGAGTAGCAGCAGGCCTGCCTGGCGCTAAACAGGTGCCTTTGAAGGGGTGCAGTTGTGGAAGTGGTGCCTGAGCACAATCCATGGGGGAAATTTTTTCCTTTCTCCTAACTGAGCATCAGGACGCGGGTGGCGCTGTGGGTTAAACCACAGAGCCTAGGATTTGCAGATCAGAAGGTCGGCGGTTCGAATCCCCGCAACAGGGTGAGCTCCCGTGTCGAGTTGCAGCTCGGCATCCAAAGAAAAATCAGTCTCACACCATAATAGGTTCCGAAATATGGCTGCTCCTAGGGCTAATGCAGCACAGCTTTTATTGTGTGAAATCAGAAAGATACAAAATACAAGCTAAGCAATTTGTTCTAGCAAGCAGATAAGAACCTTCGCACTAGACTATGCGAGCATCAGGCCATGCCACGTTAGCCAATCATATAGGACAGCACGAGCTGTTCACGCGCTGTTCATGCTCCAAGGATGCTTCTAGCTATGAAATCACCCTGTAACAATAAGAACTTTGCTCATGCTCTCATGTACAAGCAATCATTTTCCCACACTCCCGTTGCTCGGTCCCTGCTCCTGCCAACCTAGCAGTTCGAAAGCACATCAAAGTGCAAGTAGATAAATAAGTACCGCTCTGGCAGGAAGGTAAACGGCGTTTCCGTGCGCTGCTCTGGTTCGCCAGAAGCGGCTTAGTCATGATGGCCACATGACCTGGAAGCTGTACGCCAGCTCCCTTGGCCAGTAAAGCGAGATGAGTGCCGCAACCCCAGAGTCGGCCACGACTGGACCTAATGGTCAGGGGTCCCTTTACCTTTAACTGAGCTTCAGGGGGCCATGCAAGTTATTGGGGACCAATTCTGTCCCTGGATAGGAACTCGGGATTGAGAACCTGCTGGATCTAGTGAATGGCCCAGCCAGTCCAGCAGTTTGTTCCCATAGTGGCCAACCTGTGGGGGAAACTGCAAGCGGAGCCCTCTCCCTTCCTGCAGTTTCCAGCAATGGGTATTTGGAAACCTTCCAGCCATGGATACGCCTCCATGAATTTGTCTAATCTTTTAAAGCCCTTTAGGTCGACAGGCATCACTCCTGTGGGAGCAACAGGCTGAATGGACTGGGGAATCAATAATAATAATAATAATAATAATAATAATAATAATAATAATAATAATTTATTATTTATACCCCACCCATCTGGCTGGGTTTCCCCAGCCACTCTGGGCGACTTCCAAAAAAATATTAACATACTGTAATACATCAAACATTAAAAGCTTCCCTAAACAGGGCTGCCTTCAGATGTCTTCTAAAATTCTGGTAGTTGTTGTTCTCTTTGACATCTGGTGGGAGGGCGTTCCACAGGGCGGGCGCCACTACCGAGAAGGCCCTCTGCCTGGTTCCCTGTAGCTTTGCTTCTCGCAGTGAGGGAACCGCCAGAAGGCCCTTAACACTGGACCTCAGTGTCCGGGTAGAACGATGGGGGGTGGAGATTCCCCTTCAGGTATACTGGGCCTTTGAGGCTGTTTAGGGCTTTCAAGGTCAGCACCAACACTTTGAATTGTGCTCGGAAACGTACTGGGAGCCAATGTAGGTCTTTCAAGACCGGTGTTACGTGGTCTTAGCGGCCGCTCCCAGTCACCAGTCTGGCTGCCATGTTCTGGATTAGTTGTAGTTTCCAGGTCACCTTCAAAGGTAGCCCCACGTAGAGCGCATTGCAGTAGTCCAAGCGGGAGATAAGTAGAGTGTGCAGCACTCTGGCGAGACAGTCTGCGGGCAGGTAGGGTCTCAGCCTACACTACACTGGCTTCCTGTTCCTAAATGCATGCAGAGAAGTGGAACACAGGCTCCACTCTGCAGAGGACTGCCACCCATCGCCTCTTCCTTCTCGGCCTAGCTCCTTGCTCTTCTTCCTTCTAGACCCCAGGGAGTTGCTCAGTTACAGCGGTGGCCGTTGCCGAGCGAAGTTCTCTGTTTGCACAGGGTTGCGAGTGCGAAGAGAGAGCCCGGAACGAGAAATCGCCTGCCAGGGCCAACACCTGCAGCTTCAGCTTTGAACAAAGCTCCTCTTGTGCCGAGAGACACAACAGGTCTTTTCACCACGGCTGCTCTGTGCTCCAAGGATGTGGGGCAGAGAGAGCCAGGCCCCGCAGCAGTTCTAGGGCACGGGGAGGGGAAGCCCCGGAGCGCAATAGCCGGCCCAGGTGCTACCTTGCTGAACACAGGAACCCAAAGTTCATGCACTCTTCCCACTTTTGGTGGTGGTTTAGCTAGCAGCTGGCCAAGCAACGCCATTGACTTTTACCGATCAAATTATGTTGAAAACGAACTAATCCCAGGGCACACTTTGTTCTCGCTTCGTCAAAGGGTGGCTTATTCTCCCAAGAAAGTAACATAAACGAGGACGTATTAATGTGCAGCTTCATTTAAAGGGCACTACCATATTTTTACGAGGGAACAGCCTCCTATGCAGCTGCTATTCTTTCTTTTTTTTTTAATTTCCTTTCTACAATCTCCTTTAAAAAAAAATTATTGATACAATTAGTGATACAACAAGAAAAGAAGAAAGAGAAAACACAAATACCAAATTACACCCAGGAATAACCATAGACACATAATTTTCTTAACAAACGATAAAACATAAAGTTTTAACACTAAAGACCCAACCTCCCATCTATTCCATATTTCGATTTCATATTACTTATTGCCAATACACACTTTTATCTTATTTAAACTTTTTCTTAATATATCTTAATTCTTATATCTACCTTGCAACTATTACTGAAGTTCCTCGAATGCCACAACAGAGTTTGAACTACTATATATTTCAAATATTCTTTGAAAACCTCCCATTTTGAGACAAATTCCTGTTTTGATTTACCGTTCTTTCTTTTTTCTGATAGACCGTCTAATTCGGCATGTTCTGTCAGCTTTTGG